CATTATTAAAATGACAAAACTATAAAAATGCAGACAGGGACAGAACAGACAAGTAAGTGGTAACCAAAAAGTCGAACCATGAGGGAATTCTTCTATAATAGTGGAACAGAACTTTATCATAGAGGTGGTTATATAAATCAATACATGGGATTATAAAAATGACACAGAATTACACGCACATATGAAAGACTTTTTTTTTAAATGGTGAAAACTAGGATCTAAAGTATAAATTAGTAGCGATTTAACAATATTAATTTTCTAGTTTGGATAATGTACTTTAGTTATAAATGTCAACCATGAGGATTGGACTAATGAAGGTAAAATATAACACAAGACTCCTCGCTATTTTTGCAGTTTCCTGTAATAATCACAACATAGAAAGTTAAACAAACTTTTTTATTGTGGGCTTGAGGACCTGAATCTGAACCTGAGTTGGCTTGATTCAAAATTGTGTACTATATCCATATGAAGCCAACGGAGGGTAGATAAGATAGAGAAGAGATCAGTATGATAATAGCAGCAAGGTACGATCACACTGGACAAGATTTGAGTGTTAAAAGTAGGTACAGAGATATTCTTGATAACCTTTCAGTATCAATATTGCAAACCACAATGTTCAAATGGATAGAGAGAGAAGATGAAAGAAGAAGAAAGGAGGAAGGAGGGAGTAGAAGGAGGAGAAGGATGAGTAAGGAGGAGGAGGAAAAGAAGAGGAGGAAAAAGGAAAGGAAGGAGGGGAAAGGAGGAAGAGTGGGGGATGATGGGAGGGAACCTGGAAACACTGGTGCTGGCAAATGGACACTGGTGGAGGGATAGGTTTGGAATACTGTATGACTGAAATGTAATCATGAACAGCTTTGTAAGGGTCTATCTCACAGTGATTCAAGAAAAAGAGTAAAAAAAAAGAAATATAGTAACCTTCTAGAGAAAAAAATAAATATGACAAACACAAAGAACATCCTACATTTAAAGAAATTCAATGAAAGTTTTTAAAATGCTGTATTTGAAATAAATGTGAAATATCAAACCATTCCATTCATGACCACTAAGACAAGTCTTCTAATGTATTAAGATGAACATGGAAACTTGAGAGCTAAGATAGATAGGTCATTCATCGACTACTTTTATTCCCCCTCTCACCAGAGGCAGCTTTGGAGTTTCCTGCAATGTTTCCTTGTTCACCTGAAAGACTAACATCTGTTCCTCTCCCTACATATGAAGCAAACAAATTGCACAGTAGAAAGTTGTAAATGGAGTCATCTCATTATACATTTGGCATCTATTTTCATCTACTCAGGAACTTCCTGAGGAGTATGTTCTTGTGAATACAGAACTCGAGCAAATTATAATCGTCTTAGCCAAAGAGTGAACTAATAGAGTGCCAAGCAATTTATTAGTGAGTGAAAGTTGCATCCTGCCTTCATATTAATTTATCAAGCCCTTGTATGTCATTGAGCAAAAAAAACTATAAGTATAAGCAATAACAGGATAAAATATGAAAAAACTTTAAACATGTGAAGATGTTTTTACTTTAGAAATGTTTTGCTGTTTAGCATGATTTGACTTTATTTCAAATGATTTATATCAGAAACAACTACTGATCCCAAAGGAATTTGCATTTAATGATTTTTAAAAGTAGATTGGTTCACTATATAAAATCTCTAAAGGTCCTACATATTCAACTATATACAATTCATTCATCTGTGACAAAAAGTGACAAGGAATTAAGATAAATATAATTAACAAAACCTAGAGTTAAGAAAAGCCATCACCCAGGAATATTGCTCCATGATTGGAAGCCTGCTTCATGAGCTGGGAGATAAGGCAGCTGGAATAGAGAAGGGATTACTAAATCAATGGTGGTTAGAGGGATGGTTCAGGATGTGTGCTCAAAGCAGACAAAGGACCAAATGTGATAGCCTCTCAGTATCTGTACTGCAGACCACAGTGCCAAAAATAGAGAGAGAGTATGGGGAAAATTGTCTGCCATAGAGGTAAGGGGAAGGTTGGGATGGGGGAGGGTGAATACTGGGATATTGGTAGTGGAAAATGTGCACTGGTGGAGGGATGTGTGTTCAATCATTGTATAACTGAAGCTCAAATATAAAAGCTTTGTAACTGTATCATGGTGATTCAATTTTAAAAAATGGTTTAGGGGCGGGAATGATAGCACAGCAGGTAGGGCGTTTGCCTTGCATGCTGCCCGACCCGGGTTCAATTCCCAACATCCCATATGGTCCCCCAAGCATGGCCAGGAGTAATTCCTGAGTGCATGAACCAGGAGTTACCCCTGTGCATTGCTGGGTGTGACCCAAAAAGCAAACAAATAAATAAATAAAATATTTTTTGAAAATGTTTTAAATAAAAGGGAAAAAAAGAATAGGCAGAGCGTCTATTAAGTGTGCTAATTTACCAAATTCAAAAGCAAGTTAAAAACAAGAAGAAAGGGCTGGAGCTATAGTTCAGCGGTTAGGGCGTTTGCCTTGCATGCAGCCAACCCAGGTTCGATTCCCAGCATTCCATATGGTCCCCTGAGCACCATCAGGTGTAATTCTTGAGTGCATAGCCAGGAGTAATACCTGTGCATCACCGAAAGTGACTCAAAAAAGTAAAAAAAAAAAAAAAATATATATATATATATATATATATATAAAGAAAAACAAGAAGAAAAACTCATGAGAATGGTCTTGATTTAGAAAAAACTGCATGTTAGCAACTTTATCACACAAAACAGATGTAGGATAAAAGGCTAAAAATTACAAGAATATGTAGGTAGGATGTAATCTATGTAACCTGGATGTAACCATGAACTTGATTTTTTTAAAGTCACATGTCTAGGAATAATGAATCATTGAGGACGTATCAATTACAGTGATATTAAACCTTAATATTAAACAGAAACTAATAAGAAACTTTCCAGAGGCCCGTGTTTTCCAGAAAGCACAAAAGTCAGAAAGAAGCATCTGAAGATCCAAGATCAAAATGAATAGTACAAACACTCAATTTAAAGGAAACTTGTAGCCTATGAAGAGGTCTAATTATCTGTCCTAAAGGAATGATCCAGATTAGGCGGAAAATTATTTAGACCAAACTGAGGTTTCTGATTTTAAAGAGGCAGCAGAACAGGCTGAAACTTTAAGTCGAGAGACATCAGAAGAGGAGGAAAAAATATACTGATCCCTTACTTTGTAAATGCAAATACAAAATAACTGGCAGTTAGTTCTGAGAGCGGACCAGGGTTCTACACTTACTGCTAAGTTGGTAATACCATGGCACATCATAAACTGTTTCAGTCCTCCATGAGAACCTTATGTTCACCTACCAAGGCATATTCCCACTATCCATGGGAATTTCCTCCTCATCAAAAAGAACCTTGAAATACTGTTGAATGTAACATGAATCAGATCCTCCTGAAAAGAAGAAATTACCTTCCACCCCTTGTGTCCTTCCGTTTTCTGTGAGGAGCCATTCTCTTCTCCACTTGACTTAGACAAATGTATAAATGATATATGGCAATGCCGAGACATAGAACTTCCAAATTCCACTTACTTGTGGGTAAACTATTATTTTAACTATTTGTTCCAATCAATATTATTTGTTTAGTGCTTATTAAGTGAACTTGCCCAAACTTTAGTCATGCTTTTCTTTCCTCCAATTCACTAACTTTTGCTTACTTTTAAGGGATAAAAATTAAAAATCTCCCCTTCCTTTATGGCCACTACCTAGAATCACTTGACATCAGAGAAAAATACACCACAATCAACTGCCAATCATCCCTTCCCCTCCAAAGTCACAATCAATGACCCACTCAAGCCATTCCTTCCAAAGCCATTTCTTTCTAGCCCGTCCATTACTCTTTATGAGAGAAAAGCCTTTTCCTTCTTGATCTCTTATAAATTTCATAGGTAAAGTGATTCTTCACATTGAATATCCTTCTTATTATTATTATAATATTTTCCTTCCCTTATGATGATAAAGCTTTGAATAAATCCTCTCCTAAGTCCACATTTTTTAACTTTACTTACAACCTGCAGAGAGCCTCTTTATAAAATACAAATTAAATATTGATTAACCCCCTACTGATACTTATTTTTATATAATTACAACTATTACATACATCACTGTCACTGTCCTCCCGTTGTTCATCGATTTGCTCGAGCGGGCCCAGTAACGTCTCCATCGTGAGACTTGTTGTTACTGTGTGTGGCATACTGAATACATCACGGGGAACTTGCCAGACTTTACCGTGCGGCAAGATACTCGGTAGCTTGCCAGGCTCTCTGAGAGGGGCGGAGGAATCGAACTCGGGTTGACCTGGTGGGCCGTATGCAAGGCAAACGCCCTACTCGCTGTGCTATCACTCCAGCCCATTACATACATAGTCAATAATAAAACATACTATAAACTGTTCACTCTTTCCTGATGTTTGACGTTTTAAAATAACTAAAATAAAGCATTTCATAACATCATAAATCAAAACCAAAAACCTAAATATTTTAAATAACAACAAATTTATTTATATTTTGTTTATATCATATTTTTCTGCAGTATAGTTCAATTGTCTCTTTATAACTTGGTCAATAGCTTTATCAATAGATTGAAATAGCTTGGTGAACATGCTTTAATGTTTGCCAATTATTAACTCAAGTATGAAATCAACAATCATTATCTGGCTAAAGTACTTCAAACAGAACTTCTTGCAACAACATTTCATTCTTCAGCAGTCCAGGATCCTCGTCTTATTTTGGCAGGGACATACTGAGGAATTAGCATATTAATTGCAGCACATATGTAAAATGAATCCTCAATGTTTTTAATCAAGATGGAAAACGTGATATTCCTATACCAGAAATACCAAAAACGGTACCTTTCTCTAAAATACTTACATTGCTCTTATAAAGTGCTCATAGCACAAATGCATCAACAACAACAACAAAAAAGAAATCTAAGTACTCGTACAGCAAATACATCACCAAAAGAAAAAAAAATCATCTACTTACCCGCATTGACTATAGCATCTACTTCTAGCAATGTGATGTCACCTCGATAGAGAGAAACTTTATCACTCAAACTTTTTTTCACTTGGGATGTTTCTGGAGTATTTTCTTCTGCAATAAAGAGATATATTAATATCAGTATTCTGAATCTGAGAAATACAATTTTGGTACAAAAGTCAGATGGGTTACACTACATTAGACAACAAGAAATAAAAGTGTAAGTACCAGGGGTGTGGCTTAACTTCTTTTATAAAAGTGTTTCCCAACATAGGCAACAGAAGGATCAATGACTGTTTTATTGTTTACTTGTATAGCACAGCGGGTAGGGCGTTCGCCTTACAAGCGGCCAACATGGCCGACCCGAGTTCGATTCCTCCGCCCCTCTCGGAGAGCCCGGCAAGCTACCGAGAGTATTTGATATGCCAGACACAGTAACAACAAAGTCTCCACTGGAGACGTTACTGGGCCCGCTCGAGCAAATCGACGATCAACGGGAGGGCCTTTACCTTTACCTTACCTCACAAATGGGAAGTTCTTCTGCTGAATATAAATAAAGTATCACATATATTATAGCATATGATAAAATTTAAGCATGTCATACATACCGGTCAACAATTTTTTAAAAATCAACATTTTTATTATAAAAACATAAGGTCATTAAATTACAAAATAAAATTATGTATATCAACTTAGCACAGCGGTAGGGCGTTTGCCTTGCACGCAGCCAACATGGCTGACACGAGTTCGATTCCTCCGCCCCTCTCGGAGAGCCCGGCAGGCTACCGAGAGTATCTCGCCCGCAACGGCAGAGCCTGGCAAGCTCCCCGTGACGTATTCGATATGCCAAACACAGTAACAACAAAGTCTCCCAATGGAGACGTTACTGGGCCCACTCGAGCAAATCGATGAACAATGGGAGGGCCTTTACCTTTTTACCTTTTAACTTAACAAGGAGTTAAGAAAAATATGTGTAATTACCAAGAAAAAAATAAATGTTCACAGTGAAGGAGCTCGTTTCTACTGTGCTCAAGTTGCCTAAAAGTTGTCCTTGAAAATACCATTTTTTCAAGTACAAAAAGTTCAGCTCTTAACTAATTCTAACAAACTACCTCAAAAATATGCAGGGGCTGGAGTGATAGCACAGCGGGTAGGGCATTTGCCTTGCACTCAGCCAATCGGGGTTTGAGTCCCAGCATCCCATATGGTCTCCTGAGCACTGCCAGGAGTAATTCCTGAGTGCAGAGCCAGGAGTTACCTCTGTGCATCACCGGGTGTGACCCAAAAAGAAAAAAAATTAAAAATAGTATGGATTAAGAATAACTGAAGGTGTAAAAATGTCCCTTTCTTATAAAACTGTATTAACCAGTAAATGTAGGATATACTAGACTTAAAAGAGAATCATCTCTATTCTGGATTTAACAGCCAGCAACTAGCACATGTTTAAAAAGCGAACAACAGGTCCTAAAACCTAATGTCTTTTTAAAAATATTTTTAACCTGATTTACAAATTTAGAACAATTTTGTAAATTTAATTTTTAACAAGCAGAAACACTAACAAGTTCAGAGGTGGAGGATGAGGTAGGGGCTGAGGGTCAGGAGGGAATATGGGAATACCTGTGGAGGGAAGCTGACACTGGTGTGGACTAGAGTCAATATATTATAAGCCTAAATATAGTGTTCCAACACCCAACACTTCACCAGTGTACATTTCCCATCACCAATGTCCCCAGTTTCCCTCCTTCAGCCTCCCACTCATCTGCCTCTTTGGCAGGCACTCTTGCACATACCTATCCCCAGTCTGCCTCTACTGTGCAATATGGTTTGGAATATAAATATTCAAAGGTCATCGTGTATATCCCTTTACCTACTTTCAGCATTCAATTCTTGTCCAGAAAATCACAGTTTAAATTATAAAAATAAATTAGAAAAATATGGACAAAACTGAAAAAAAATAGAAACACTAAACAAAGCTTTATAAAAATCAATGTTGTGAAATATATTGAATTTCTATGTATAAGTTTTTACTACACTTCAGAGAAGTCAACTTATAAATCAGTTTGGTGTTGTTTTTGTTTTTGTTTTTTTTAGTATTTAGGGTCTGCGCAAATCATTCAAGGGGTGAAATGTATTATTTACCACTAAGGAACTTTCAGATAAGCCTCCACTTTTGAGATATTAGGGAGATTAGCAACTGTGAGATTGTCACTAAAATTGTCTTTGGAAGCCATAGCTCAAAGAAAACTAGTCCTAAGAACCAGGAATATGATCATTCTTTTTTCATCCTCTGAAACGTCCCTTTCTTGGCAACCACTTCTCTTTTTATATTCTAATTTTAAAAAATACTCATTGGTGATGGTTTTAATGGTATAGCATCAGCAGACATAATCAAAGCAGCAATGAGGAATACAATGTAGAAAAAAAATTACATGGCCTGAGTGATAGTACAACGCCTTGCACACGTTGTACAAGTTCCATCACCGGCATCCCATATGGTCCACCAAGCATTACCAGGAGTGATTCCTGAGTGCAGAGGCAGGAGTAAGCCCTGAGCATAGCCAGGTGTGACCCAAAAAGCAAAAAAAAAATTACATTAAAAAAATGTAGAGTGAAATAAAGAGACAGTACAGTGGTGAGAGCCCATGCCTAGCATGAACCTAAACCAGGTTCAATTCTCAACACTGAATGGCTTCAGGTCCAGCATTGAACTGTCAGTCGTCCTTTTGGCAGAGTATAACCAGAAGTGGTCCCCAGCCCCTCAGAACACCACTTGAGAGCCCCGATCCCCACCACCCTGCAAATAGAAGAGGAAATTTTAGATGCCATCCAAATTACAAAGAGAAAATTAAGTTGAATACCTCAGAGTAGTACTTTGTGAGGTAATAGTTAACAATGAGTACCAACAGACTAATTTTGTTTAACTCCTATTTCTCCCAATTATAACTACAAGACCATAACCAAGTTATTCTAGCCATGCCTCCATGACTGGCTCTGTGACATGGCAGTTAAACTGACTGCCTCACTTTTACACTAATATTTGCCCCATAATAAGCTACTATTACATAATATCTGCTTTTCACAAATGTACAAAACATTATTTCAGCATGCATATTCTAAACTTATGAACTTATACAGTGTTAAGGAACCTTTTCTAATATATTATTTTTAATAAAGAATCAATATATTTATTTTTGTTTTGTTTTAGGGGTGACATGCAGCTATGCTCAGGGATTACTTCTGATGATGTTCTGGGGCCATATGTGGTGTCAGGGATTGAATTTGGGTCAAGTGTGTACAAAGCAAGCATCTCATCCACTGTACTATCTCTCAAGTCCCTATTTTCATTCTGTAAAAAACATCAGGTTTTGTTTGTGCTCTGCCAATGCTTGATCCATGATAAAAACTTCGCAGGGGGGGCTGGCGGGCGGCTGGGCGGGGTGCGCATGGGTCTCAGCTCCTCACATGCTGCGCTTGGAGCCCCACCTCCTCACGCGCTGTGCTGGGAGCCCCAGCTTGCGCACCGCGGGGAAGCTCAGTGGCCAGCGCCATCCGCGAGCCCATGCCGAGCCTATGCCGTGGCCTGAGGAAGAGCCGCAAGCACCCAGCAAGATGGCGGCCGCCTCAGAGCTCTTTGGAAAGCCAGGTATGAGCCGGTGGTGACGGGCAACTGAAACCTCATGGGAAGGGGAGGCGTTCCCAGCTCATCCTTCACGCCCTTCCAAGGTCAAGGGATGCCCCCCACAAGCGGCTCTCTGGCACGGTCATGGCTCCAGAAGCACAGGGACTTAATGCAGAGCCTGGCAGCTTGTGGCAGAAAAGTGAATGGACTATGCATTAATCCACAGCTCCATGCCTGCCAGGGGTGGAAAGGGTGTTGCTCCCTTCCACCTTTTTCCCCCTGGAAAGCAAGATGGCAGCTGCCTCGGAGCTCTTTGGGAAGCCGTCAGGTATAAGCTGGTGGTGACCAGGCAACTGAAACCCCATGAGAAGGGGGGCGTTCCCGGCTTGTCCTTCACGCCCTACTGAGGTCAGGGGTTGCCCCCCACAAGCAGCTCTCTGGCACGGCCATGGCTCCAGAAGCACAGGAACTTAATGCAGAGTCTGGCAGCTTGCGGCAGAAAAGTGAATGGACTATGCGTTAATCCACGGCTCCATGCCTCCAGAGCCACAGAAACCAATCTCATAATTATCTTGCTCTTGGCAGAAATACTTCCAGGCTTAATAAGTAAAATATCAGAAATCCAAAATTGTGCAGCCACTATTGCGGCCGCGCAACATCATCTGGTTTTTGTAACCAGCTGTAGAAAACAAATTATTCTGCAATGCCTTTTCAGCAGGTCTGATTTTGGGGTGTAAATTCTAAACAATAATGGTGCATCTTTTGTCGAAATAATCAATCTAATCAAAGTAGATAGAGTTCTAATTAGAATCCATCTGCCTCACAGGCACTAGGAGGGGTGGGGGGGGGTATATTGGGGTTCTTGGTGGTGAAAAATAAGTACTGGTGAAGGGAAATGTGTTTGATCATTGCATGACCAAGACTTAAACCTGAAAGCTTTGTAACTTTTCCCATAGTGATTCAATAAATAAAAAAAAAATTTTAAAAAAACTTTGTTGCAGAAAAACTTAACTTCGATATTCAATTCTATTTCAATCGTCACAATTGTTACAAAATTATAAATGCCTGATATCCCGAATGAAGATCATTTGATGATAATTATTTGGTGACAAAGAGTGGCAGGTTATAAAATCAATACACTTTGCTTTTCTATATGCAAATAATGAAAAAGAAGAAAGCTTCCCCTCCCCCACCACCACCACCACCACACACAGAGCCCTGGCAGCTGAAAACCTCCAGAACTCAATCACTGCCATGCTCATGGCGGAACTCCACAGGCTCGGCTGAGCCTCACCCATGAATGAACCTGCTAAAAAACTCAGGTATGCATGTTTTGTAACCAAAATCTCCAGGATCTGATGGGGTCAGGGATGGGTGACCTCCTCTCATACCCCTGTTCTTCCAGGTGCCAGGCAGCCATGCCCATGAACTATCTCTGGCACCATTTAAGCTCATTAACCAGCCATGATCCAGAACCTCACAAAGAAATCTCAAA